CCCAATCACAGCTAATTTTAAACAAGAGAAAACAGTCAGAACTACATTTTTCAAATCTCAGGAGGAAAGCACCACTCTTGGAATGCTGAGTCCTGTCTTGCCATTGCCTAATACATGCCTGTATTAGGTCCCTGTCCTTAAGTAAGGAAAACAGTAACACAGAGAGTTTTATCGTAATGAGAAAAGGTTTTGAAAGATACATCCACAGAATCCTATGGGGGTGTGTGTGTGTATATATATATGTATATATGCAGAGAGAGAAACTCTAATTCAACCTGAAGGGCCAGGAACCCTGGGCTAGGTATTAAAGGAAGATGATTTAATTAAAATGAGGGATAGACAGAGAAGCATTCAGCTTGCAAGAATAGCTGAAACAAAGGCTTAGAGACGTGATACTGGGTGGTAGGAAGTATAGGAGGTGACGCCACCTCCTTAAACCTGTGGTTTAAGCTGTGTGGCACAGCACTACACAACTACTCAACTGTCTAGGCCAAGAGGACTGACCATGTCAGCTGTCGGTGAGGTCCTGGAGCACCCGGAACTCTCATCTACCACTGGAGGAAACGCAAAATGACACCACCGCTTTGAAAGAGTTTGGTAGTTTTTTTTAAAGTAAGAAACTATACAAAACATATATATGTATCATATGACAAGTTTCTTAACACGCACTTATCACCTAGTCCGGCCAGGCTACTCTAGGTATTTACCCGTGAAGAGTGAAAGTGTCTGTCACACACAGACCTGCACATGCACATTCCCAGCTGATTTTCTATCATAGCCCCAACTGGAAACAACTCGATTTTCATTAACAGGTCAGTATATAAACAAACTGTGGTATAATCATATAATTGAATACTACTCAGCAAGAAAAAAAGAATGAGCTCTGGACACGTGCATACAACATGGATGAACCTCAAAACAATTATGTTGGATGAAGTCAGGCCAGAACACGTAGCAAAGTAAACAGTACATACTGAATGATTTGTTCATGTAAAACCCTTGGAAATGTAAAATACAGTGACAGGAAGCAGATGAGCAGGTGCTAGGGAGGGTGGAAGAAATTACAAAGGGGCCTAAGAAAATGGGAAGACAGATGCCACCTTGATGGTGGGTATTATTTCAGGGAGAGGAACATGTGCCCAAATGTACCAAATCATACATTTTTAAACATGTGAAAACTTTGTGAATACACTAAAAATTATTGAATTATATGCTGTTAATGGGCGAATTGTCTAGTATGGAAATTATACTTCAATAAAACTTTCAAATATATACAGTTTACTGGATGTTGATCACATCTTAAAAGTGGTTCAAAGTTTCTCTGAAACGTGGAGAGGACCCAGCAATGAGGCACCGTGTTGTAGAATGTACCTCTAGCTGACTTGGAGGTTCTGGGCAGAGGCATGGCTGGACCTGACCTGCACATTTGACAGATCCCTTTGATGCCAAGGGTAGAGTAGGAATGAGGACATCAGGACTCAGGCAAGGAGATCAGAGGAGAGAATATTGCAAAATCAAGGTGAGAGATAATGGCATAAGGTATAATAGGTCTGCAGAAGTGGGATCAGAATTTGAAAATGTTTTCCTTGTTTCTTGGTTTTTTAAGATGAAAAAACATTGAACATGTTTATAAGTGAATGATAAATAGGGAGAAATGACATCAAGAAGAGAGAAAAAAGACATCGATGGAACATGGACTGGAGGTGATGAGCATACCAAGTGTTCCTTAAGGTGGCAGAGTTGAGCCATGGTCCTCAATGGGGTGTGGGTGGGTGTGTGTGTGTGTGTGTGTGTGTGTGTGTCTTCTGGGAGGTGTTCCTGGTGGGCTCAGTGACCACAGGCACTGTCAGCATCTGGAGGGGAGGTGGCCAGGGGATACAACATACACGCCTTCCAACCAATGCACAGGACAGTACCATTGTATGAAAATTGCCTTCTGTGTCTAATGTGACTCTAGAGTGTTCTACTGGACAATTATGTCGGTGAAAAACCCATTTGTAGTCCTCTGAATTGAGAGGCTCTCTTTTACAAGTAAACACCTGCAAGGTGTGAACACACACTGAAGTTTCCAAGACCATAACTACTGCACCGACTGAGGGAAGCTTGAACTTTAGTTTATTTGGAACTTTATCAAGAATTATTCACATTTGCCTCTGCAAAGTTTGATGTGTTCAAGTATGTTATCAAAGTTGGGCCTTTACAGCTCCATCGGATCCTATCTTATTCAGGCAAACTTGTCTCTGCCTTTGATGAGCCTTTATGCCATCAACAACGTATTTGCATTATATTTTGAAAATCTCATGCTATCAGCAGGTTGTATCGTAGAAGGATGTAAAAAATAAGAATGCTGCTGAAGGAGTTTTGAAAAAAAGAGTTTCCAGCTGGATTCACTGTCAGTTCTGCTTTCTATTGTACTTCTTTATTTTCAGTATAATTCTTCCATGTTGGCAGTAAATTTTCTTATGTTCCATTTCTTTTTTTTATTGTTGGGGATTTACTGAGGATAAAAGAACCAGATTACATTGTCTTATGTTCCATTTTGATGTAAATTCCATGAAGGCAGAGATTTTTGTTTTGTTTATACTTGTGTTCCTATCCAGAGAATGGTACCTGGAACATAGTTAGGGAATCAGTAAATATTCGTGGAATGAAATTAATATTTCTTGATACCATCTAGGGGATCACAAATCCTCCAGGTACATTTTAGCTTTTCAGAACATTTTACTCAACTCTCACCAAAATGTAACTGTCTTTGCCTCAATATATCTTTTTACTGATAATAACTAGTCATCCTTTTGGTTAAGTACCTTGGAAGGAG